GGTCAACGGTGCAGACATTGCCTTTTATTTCCTTTCCACCTTGAATGCCGATGTGATGGCTGAATAGCGTGTGTGTGTGTGTGTGTGTGTGTGTGTGTGTGTGTTTTAAGATGAAGTCTTTCTCTGTTGCCAGGCTGGGGTGCAGTAGTGCAATCTCGGCTCACTGCAACCTCCGCCTCTCGGGTTTGAGTGATTCTCCAGCCTCAGCCTCCTGAGTAGCTGGGACTACAGGTGCGTGCCACCACGCCCAGCTTGTTTTTGTATTTTTAGTAGAGATGGGGTTTCACCAAGTTTGCTAGGATGGTCTTGATCTCCTGACCTCATGATCTGCCCACCTCAGCCTCCCAAAGTGTTGGGATTAAAGGCACGACCCACTGCGCCCAGCCTGATGACTGAACATTTTGCAATTATGAGAGAAAAGCCAAGAGAATGTCAGAGAAGCTGGCCCTCACTTCTTTATGTGATTTAGCAGTATCATCAGCTGACTGCTTTCAGATCTCTAGATAGATGAGAAAAATACTCCTCTGTTTGTGTAAGCTACCATAGTTGGGCTTTCTGTTACTTGCAGCTGAATACCACCCCATGTTTTCTTAATTATCTCAAATGTAGGAGGCCAACTCCTTGTTAGGTCTGATTAGATCATTTGTTCCTACCTAGTGTAATAGAGTTAACATGGCTCTTACGGGAGGGAGAAATGTCAGCACTTCTTTTCCTTGTTGTTTGCTTGTACTTATGTTAATAGTATGACTTGCAGCTTCTTTGCGGGAATGTTTAGAGCCATGTATGCAGTCTATGAGAGTTAACTTGTTAAAACTAGATAGTGCAATCTGTATACCCATTTCACAAGATGTAAACTACAATGTATCACAATACCCCGAAAGTGACACAGGAGTGTCATTGTCACCACCTCCTCCAAATTGTGGCACTCAGAAATCCTCATGGGATCATGACATGGCATTCCTGGCATCCAGGGTAAGTGAGGGTGACAGTGTCAATCCATGTATTGAGACTAAGGAAGACTTCATTTTGTTTTGTTTTAGAGAAGAAAACCCTTCCAGAAAAAGTTCTACATGTTTATTCCCCATGCCCCAAATGGGCCATCATGTGTGTCCCCAGGGTGCCCATGCCCCTCTTTGGACACCATTGAAGTTGACCCATAGTGTCTGCTCCAGTGACCTGGATGGCAGGTACCCTGCTTTGGACAGCCACGTGCAGGAAGCTGCTTTCCAGTGGATGAAGCCATGCGGTCACAGGGGAGAAATGGGGATGGCATTTAGTAATGTGTCAAGGTGGAAGTTCTATTGACTCCCAAAACAAAAACGATTTTTCAAAAATGTGCCAATATTTATTTCCTGCAAAGGTAACATTCTTCCCAAAAAAACCTCCATAAGGTATAAATTTTTATAATCTATAGCAGGATCAGAGGAGGGTTTTGAGAGCATCTAAGTGCACACCCTCATTTTACAAAGGGGAGGTTGGAATTTGCAAGCCAGCTCGGAGCATGCTGCCATCTGCTGGGAAGAAGGTAGACATGAACACCGAAGTATCCCTTAACACCAGGCCACAGCGGGGAGGGAAAAATCTGGAAAAGGGAAGGGTAGGGATCCAGTTTCCCTTGGCTGTGACTCTCTTGTGCTTTAAGACATCCAGGGCTCTCCCCATTGGCCAACAATTTGTCAGAAGAATGAAATTTTAATGAGGTTTTCTCCTGAAAACTGATAGGACATTATCCAACTTTAAAAAGAAAGGAGATTCTGACATATGTTACAACATAGATGAACCTCGAGGACATTATCATAAGTGAAATAAGCCCAGCACAAAAAAAATACCAATGCTGTATAATTCCACTTATATAAGGTATGTACAGTAGTCAAAAATCACAGAGACAGAAAGTAGAATGTGGATGCCAGGGACTGGGGGTTAGGAGAATGGGGAGTGTCTAATGGATACAGAGTTTGAGTTTTACAAGACAAAAATGCTCTGGAGAGTGGTTGCACAAAGTGTGAACATATTTAACACTACTGACCTGTACGCTTAGAAATATATATATACACGCACAGAGTCTTGCTCTATTGCCCAGGCTGGAGTGCAGTGGCACAGTCTCTGCTCATTGAAACCTCCACCTTCTGGGTTCAAGTTATTCTCATGTCTCAGCCTCCTAAGTAGCTGGGATTACAGGTGTGCATCACCAAGCCTGGCTAATTTTTGTATTTTTAGTAGAGACGGTGGGGTTTCACCATGTTGCCTAGGCTGGTCTCGTACTCCTGGCCTCAAGTGATCTCCTGCCTTAGCCTGCCAAAGTGCTGGGATTACAAGTGTAAGCTACTGCACTTGGCCTCTGTACACGTAGACATTAATATTATATTAATAGTTAAATTGGCAAATGTTAGGATGCATGTATTTCACCACAATTTAAGAACCAGTAAGTGAAAGAGATAAGCATGTGGTAGGCACTCGACTTCATGCAATAGAGTCACAATAAATAACTGTTGAGTGAAGACGGAAAGAAATGGCTAGGCATGGTGGCTCACACTGGTAATCCTACAATTTAGGAGGCTGGGGCAGGAGAATTGCTCAAGCCCAGGAGGTTACAGTGAGCTCTGATTGTACTAGTGGACTCCAGCCTGGGTGACACAGCAAACCCTATCTCTCGGGGATGGAAAGAAGTGATGCTGACTCATGGTCTGAGATACCAGGGAGAACATGACAATGGGCATCTTTTCTTTACCAGAAGAACCTGGTAAAGGTTCTTTAGTCATAGTTACCTTTTTCTTGAGGTGATAAATTAGTTGTCTTTCCTGTTCTCATCTCAAAGCCAAAATGTCGCATTTTGGTAGAAAATTCTGAGGATGGCATGGCACTGAGTTCTGCCTGAGCCAGAACCTAACATCCTGGGTGTTCTTGATCACTGGTGGCAGCAGCAGCCAATTTTTTGTTGATTTCAGGGTTGCAGATCCCAGTCACAGAACTTCAGAACCACAAGGGCTCTAAGCAGCCTTGTAAGATTGAAGGGATTTCTCTCCTGCTTACTAAAAATGCATAAATACAGTAAACATTTTAAACAGTGATTTTTCAAAAGCCGCAGGAGCCAGCAAGTGGCAAAGCAGAGCCTTCTCCAGCACCCACAGCAGCAGACAGTGCACAAGTTGGTCTTGTCTTGCCAGTGGAGTCCTGCTCTGCAAGGGGGAAGGTTCTCTTTGTGGACACTCCAAGGTCCATCAGCCACAGCTTTTGCCAGGATAACAAGGGGAGGCTGAGTCTGTTCATAATGGGACTCTCAGCCCAGAGGCAGGTGTCAGATCCTCAAGGGGAAGGATGGTAGAGTGCAAAGAGAGCATGAGCCTCCAAATGTAGCTGGCTCTGCAACTGCCTGGATGTCTCCTGGAGCCCCTGCTGTTGAGCCCTTGTGAGCAACCCTGACTCACCCCAACTTCCCTGCCTGACTGTCAAATCTCAGCCAGAGGCAGACTCAGAGTTGACAGTGACAGGTTAAGTTCGCCACAAGGGATTTGGTTATGAAGACCCCCCATCCCCCAGGACTCCTGGACTTAGAGTGTTTCCTGTATTTCTCATGAACATTTTTAACCCAGTAAGATGGAGTGGTGAAGCTCATTTCTGGGTCAGAAGCACTGTTAGCCATGGGTGGAAGCCCAATTCCAGGGAAGGGAATGGGAGATGGGATCTGCGGAGTCAGGAGAACTGAACCTGGGGATGTTGACACCACAACCTTCCACATCCACTTGGAAGTTTGAATAACCAGTTTCTCCCAGTTGCTTTGTGTGTCTGGAAGTGGCTCTCTTTGAAAAGGCAAAAACAACCATTGTAATCTCTCCTAAAGTCTTGCAAAAGACATCCCTCCATTCCTGTTTGCCAGGGGTGGGATGAGATAGTCAGCAGCTTTTTCTCCAAGAGTCAACGCTGCAAGGTTTCTGACTTTGTGGAGACCTTGCAGAGGCCTGGGGGTCTGAGAAGCGTCAACATAGCTGATTGCAGAAGCACACAGTTCCACAGGGACTGCTGGACTTTATCTGAGGGCTCCAGGACTATTTTGCCCAGTGGGTCTATTTACCTTCCTGTTTGATCAAATCTGACATACCTGGACCGGCTCCCTGAGACTTGAGCAAGTTTTGTTCCACTATAAAAATTCATTGCGGACTCCAAACACTGGCTGCTCAGATTATGCTGAGTTGGGTGGGCTTGGAATGGGTGGGGCAAGAATTACGTCCTTCCAGATGAATAGAGGCAGTGCATCCTTTGCAAGGCCTGGGAGCTGGGGAGTGGATCAGAACCCAAGTGTTTCACATCTCTCTTGCTTCATCCATTAACATCATGGGTGGAAAAGCACACAAACCAAATAGGAGGGGAATCCTGTCATTACCATTTCTCACTAACTTCTGGTTCTCCTTTATATGATTACCAAACAAAAGCATAAACCTCTCCACATCAGAGCCAGTAAAACTGTGTTTCCAGCAGGGATACTGAAACTAGCAGGCCATAAAGCTAGGTGTCCTGGCTGGGCATCATGGTACATGTTTGTAGTCCCAGCTACTCAGGAGGCTGAGGTGGAAGGATCACTTGAGCCCAGGAGTTCAAGGTTATAGTGAGCCATGATCATACTACTGCATCCCCGAGCCTGGGCAACACAGTGAGACTCTGTCTCTTAAAAACAAACAAACAAAAATCTCACCAAACGAAAAAACCTGTGCATCCTTTGTCTCCCTGAAGCTATTCCCACTGGCACAGCCAGTTCTGTCCCTTTAATCTGTGCTAAAATCAGAAGAGTATCTCGCAGATAGTCTGTTACACAGGGGCAGCCAGGACCTCAGGGCTGAAACACAGATTTTTCAATTAATTATTAGGAGGTGCACGGTGGGGAGCACTTCCTCAAAGGTAGAGAAGCATGTGCAGGAGTGTGTTGGAGACAGAGGGCAAACAGACTCATAATTCTACATGTGGCCTGCAGGGAGCAACCTCTCTCTAGCAATGACCACACCACATACTTAAAGAGATATTGCAGGAAATGCATTTAATTGGCCAAGGAATAACAGTTTTGTTCTTAAAAATTAAAAAAATTATATCAATATAGTTCCATTAAGCAATTTCCATCCCTACATACTTTCATATAGAGATGTTGCTATTTTTCTATTTACAGAGCTAAATACATAGTAAGCTTTTAACAAATAAACACATGGATTGTTCAGTTGGCTGAAGATAACTCAGACTTGCCTGAGGCATGGAAAATACAGGTTGAGAATAGGAGGAAGTACCAACTGGTAAATGTGCATGGAAAAGCACTGATAGAGTTTGAATGTTTGTTCCCTCCCAAACTCACATTGAAATTTAGTTACCATCCCAGTAGTTTGCAGGATTAAAAAAAGAAATTTGATTGCCATTGTAACAATATTAAGAGGTGGGACCTTTTTTCTTTCTTTCTTTTTTAAGATGGAGTTTCACTCATGTTGCCCAGGCTGGAGTGCAATGGCGCAATCTCAGCCACTGCAACTTCCCCCTCCCAGGTTCAAGTGATTCTCCTGTCTCAGCTTCCCGAGAAGCTGGGATTACAGACACCCATCACTCCCAGATAATTTTTGTATTTTTAGTAGAGATGGGATTTCACCATGTTGGCCAGGCTGGTCTCAAACTCCTGACCTCAGGTGATCCAAAAGAGGTGGGATTTTTAAGAGTTGATTAAGCCATGAAGACTCTACCCTTATGAATGGATTAATGTCATTATCAAGGGGGTGGGTTTGTTATACAAGAATAAGTTTGGCTTCTCTTGCTCTCTCACTGTCTCTTTGTCTTTCAACTGTGGGATGATGCAACAAGAAGGTCCTTGCCAGATGCCAGCACCTTGATATTGGACTTCTTAGCCACCATATCTGTGAGCCAATACATTTCTGTTTCTTAGAAATTACCCAGTCTCAGGTATTCTGTTATAGCAGCACAAAGCAAATGAAGATTAGCACTTTCCTTTCTGGTTAATAGCTTGCCCAAGAAAAACAAATGCATTTGAAAATTTACAAAAGATCTCTCTAAAAGCAAGCCACGATTAATTCTTTAAAAACAAAGGAAACAGTCATCTTGGTTTTATAAATATTCCCCTTCATTTCAAAGTTCATCTTTCATATGTATTAGAGAAACAAGTTCCAGGTTTATGCAGGTTTATACATGTTTAAAGTTTTACATTTAGACTCAGCCCTGTCAAATGCATTTATTCCAAACTGACTCAGCCCTCTCCCCAGCTAGATGCTGCAGACTGGATGAAGCCATCAAAGTCCACCCGTCACTGAAAGGGGCCACTAAGATTAGTTTTGGCAGGCAGCACTGAGCAAAGAGCAGGGCAGCCCGGCCTGAGCTTGGCCAGCCTAGCAGAAGATGTGCATGTGTGCTTAGAGGCAGTGATACTTCTCTTTCCACAGAATAGGCTATGGGCTCCCAGGGACTTGCACCTTCGGCTGGTACTTGCCTAGAAGCTATCTGTCTATCTCTCAGAACGTCTCTGTTTTCCAAGCAGCAAAGAATGAGCACCTTTAATGCCAGCAGTATCCAAGAGCACCCTGATCCCAGAAGGACCCCTTTTCTGGACAGGCCAATAGCCTCAGGTAGTTTGGAGGGTGGGCCTGCAGGGAGAGGTGCTGGGCAGTCTGTCTGTCCACAAGTGAGGTACAGACACACCCTGAGCCCCCTGCAGGGTAGTGGTCTTCCACAGAAGCTACAGATTGATGTTTGTGACTACTGGCCTCATCACAGGCCCAATCTCCCCATCTACTAAGGTTCATGGTCACGCTGCTTCACAGGCTGAAGCCTCTGCAGGGAGAGGAGGCAGCAAGGTGACTGAAGCAGGAACAGTTGGGAAGGAGCCATCTGTGATCTCTTGACCAGCAGGAACACTGGCTCCTTACCCAACCAGGAGTACATAATGCAGGAACCAGAGTGACTTTCCTTCACTCCTGAGCTTGTTTTGCTTGTGTTTGTTTGAGACAGGGTCTTGTTCTGTCACCCTGGCTGGAGTGCAGTGACATGATCTCAGCTCACTACAGCCTCAACCTCCCAGGCTCAAGCAATCCTCTCGGTTAAGCCTCTCAAGTAGCTGGGACTACAAGTGTGCACCACCATGCCCAGCTATTTATTTTATTTATTTTATCTTTTTGTAGAGACAGGGTTTCACTGTATTGGCCAGGCTGGTCTCGAACTCCTGACTTCAAGTGGTCTTCCCGCCTTGGCCTCTCAAAGTGCTGGGATTACAGGCATGAGCCACTGTGTCTGGCCCACTCCTAAGCTTCTTACATGTCCTCTGGGAGAGCCCCCAGCATCACTGCTGGCCCCAACTCTCAGCCAGGGCCCTAGGTGCACATGCAGGAGGGACATGGTGCCATCACTCTGCCCACACAGGGTGCCGAGGCTGTGTGAGTGAGTAAGCGCACCAGAGGAGGAAGGGATTCAGCAGGTGGTCCCCCAGCCAGGGCCGGAGCTCAGGAAAGGCAGCACTGTGGCAGGTGTGCGGCATGTCAGGAGCCCAGAAGCTGCTGTCCTATGCCCCTTTCCTCCCGACACCTTGATGTGGTGTAAATGAGGGGCCTCAGCCGAGGGACATTTCACTGAGTGTCAAAAGCAAAGAGAGCGTTGGGAAATCCTGGGGAAAAGGGAATGTCAAGGTGAGGAGATGAGGCCTTTCTACATGAGGACCAGGGGCAGGGCTGCAGAGTCCCAGAGAGGTCCATGGGCACCACCATGCCCAGCTATTTATATACATGCAGGTTTATACATGCTTAAAGTTTTACATTTAGACTCAGCCCTGTCAAATGCATTTATTCCAAACTGACTCAGCCCTCTCCCCAGCTGGATGTTGCAGAGACTAGATGAAGCCATCAAAGTCCACCCGTCACTGATAGGGGCCACTAAGATTAGTTTTGGCAGGCAGCACTGAGCAAAGAGCAGGGCAGCCCAGCCTGAGCTTGGCCAGCCTAGCAGAAGATGTGCATGTGTGCTTAGAGGCAGTGATACTTCTCTTTCCACAGAATAGGCTATGGGCTATGGGAAGATGTGGTCAGCCATCTTCCTCAGTGGGGCAGGCCCTGCCCGACCGCACAGTGGTAGACAGCCTCTCCCTGCCCCTCTCCCCATCCAACACAAATCTCCACATACAACCAGACCCTGTCCTCACCTCACCATGACAACCAGCACCCGCTCAGGCCTGCATGGCCCTGGTGTAGACCCAAAAGTGGGGTGTGGGGTGAGGGTGAGGAAGGCAGTGTCCCTGTCCTTTGAGGGCAAGGCTGGCCCCAGATGGAGCTCTGCCCCAGAGGAGAGGCAGGCTCCAAACCAGAGAGTCCAGGAGCTGGTAGAGTGAGGCCTCCCTCTGCCACCCCTTCTCCCCGACCCATCCAGGAAAGACTGGGAGGCAGGGGAGGAGCGCCCATCACTTTCCGCTCCGGGAGAGTGCTGAGGGGGCTCCAGGCTGGGTGGCCATGATGTGGTAGATGGATTCCCGGAAGCGCTGGTCCCTGCTGAGCCGCTTGGCCACCTCCTTTAGCTCCTCCATGTTGTTGGCATCCAGCTGGGAGGTCATGAAGGACTGGGATGGCTTCACTGGGGAAACAGGAGCCCAATAGCCCCATGAAGAGTGCTCCCTCCTCAAAGGCCTGGCCCTGTCCCCAGCCTCATGCCACCCCTCACTCCCTTATGTGTGTGCTGAGCTTCTTCCAGCCCCTTCCCACCCATGGGCTTCCATATCCTTCGAGAAACCCAGGGCCCTGAGAATTCACCCATTTGTTCAAGGACAGTGGGGTTCAAGGTTCAAGGCCACATTGTCCCGCCTCAGAGCTGGGCCAACCCTTCTCGTTCCTCATGTTGCCCTCTTCCTGCCTTTTCACCACGACCCAGGACATGCAGACAGACACACTCACTATCATTCCAGGAGGTGCTGGACCGGCGCCGGTGGAAGCGGCAGCTCTTGATGCGGCGAGTGGCTGCTTTATGGATGTACACGGAGTTCTTCATGATTACAGGCATCTTGGCCTCCAGCTCGGCATTCCGGATGCACTCCTCAAAGAACCCTGTGGAGGCAGGGCCAGGAAGGGTGAGGTTTGACTGCATCCTTACCCCCAGCTGGTTCCTCCCCTCCCAAGGATTCTGGTGAAGTTGAGTGGGAAATATGGTGATCCCGTCCCTTGAGATTCCTGAGCCACCAACTGAAGGGGGCTTTCTTTGCCTTTCAAACCACAGTCTGCAGCCATCTCAGGGCAGGTCTGCTGAGAACAGGACTCTGAGCTTTTGACAAATGGAAGAAGCTCCCAGCTTTCTTCCCACCCCAGATCCAACAGCCACAAGAAAGCAGTGGCACATAGATACCTGCAGGGAGGGAACTGGAGAAGAAAGCCTTCAACATTCGTGGAGCGCCTCATGCATAGCAAGTTCTGTGTGGGGTTCCTGTTTCTACAGGGCTGGGACCCCATCTGGGGCTGAGTGCCAAGGTTGGGGGCTGGGACCTAGAGGCAGGGCTTACTTTTCAGATGGCTCACATCTGCCCGCATCCTCTCCTCCTTCTCCTTATTCCGCACCTTGGAGTTCAGCCCCTGTTCCAGGCTTCGCAAGGCCCCCTCTGCCTCCCGGAGACGCCTCTCCAGGTCCATTCGGACCTTCACCTCAGCCTGAGGGTGACAAGAGGGAAACAAGAAGGAAGTCGGGTCCCGGAAGCAGCTGCCATCTTCCCTAGAAGCCTTCCCTGGTCACCCCTGGCTCAATGGGCTTGGATAGGAGTTATCACATCCTGCCTCCAAGCCTTACCCTTTGAACCAGATGGCCTGGACTTGGCCCCTGCACCCAGCAGGTATCTGTCAATGATGCAGCAGACTCTCTGCTTCCCCTCGTGGTGGCTCCTACCCCCGTGCCTGGCCATCTGGTCAGACTGACAGAGATAATTCATCTAGCTACCCGGTAAAGTGCAGGGGTGCAAGGGGTGTCTCCAAGGGAGGGAAAAGGACCTGGTACCAGCTGCTCTCAGCCCGCCAGTTCACACCTTGAGCTCCTGCTCAGCCTGCTGCTTCTCTGCCGTCAGCTCCTGCAGCGAGTTCTGCAATGCCTGGGACTGGCTGGAGTAGAATTCACACTCCTCCTCCAGGGCCCGTGAACGCTCCTCGTTCTCCTTTATCCTTCAGGGACAGAAGAGGCACCTATTCAATGCGCACTCACCAGATGGGATTGCCAATGTGTGGCCAGCTCCTCTTAGAGACCTGGGCTGGAGAAACCTTGAATCCCAGAGCTTCACAAGCCCCTGAACTTTGTGGGTCCAGGCACCCAGGGGATGGTGTGGTCAGTGATGGGAACCCTAGGCTTAGAGTCAGAAGACTGGAGTCCTAGGTCCAGAGCTTGCTAGTTTTGTGACCTCAGAAAAGTCATATAACCCCTCTGAGGCTCCATTTCCTCATTTGTAAAAGGGGGCTGAAAAACTTGCCCAAGCTGCCACAAAGCATGGTGACAAGGACCTAATGACTGCATGGTTCACACTATTGGACGAGATCATTATCAAGCTTTGGGTAGTGAAAGTTCTCTCCCCACTTTCCTGGTGGGGAAACTAAGTCCTAGGCAAAATGAAGTGAGTGACTCCTACTTGGTCAGTGCCAAGGAGAACCCAAGAGTCTGGGTGTCCAGTTCAAGAAAGGTTACTAGATCCCGAAGCCCATCATGAACTCAGGGGTCCAGGTTCCCTCACCGCTTCTCTGCCAGGAGCTTCTCCTCTAAGAGCTGCTGCATCTTCTCCTCGATCTGCCGGAGGTTGCTTTGGAGACCCCCGCTGGGAGGGGGCTGCTCATTTTGATTGGCCAGTGTCTGCAGGTGGTTCTCGTTCTCCTCCAGCATTTCCAGGGTTTTCTTCTTCTCTATGGAGAGTTCCTGGCATGGAGGGAGAGAAGGAAAAGAAAAGCCCAATTTAGGTTCTCCAATATGGCTGCCCTCACCTGCCTTTCCATTCCAGGGAGTGACCCACTCCTCTCTCAGTCCTCTGTGGTAGCCGAAATGTCTTAATGCTTCTCCAGAGCTAAAAGGCCCGGATGTCTCTCACAAGAGGGCAAGGTTACTCCTCCATCAAGGGAGTCATAAAGGAGCCCAAAGTGCCTTCCACTGGAGATGGCACCTACTAGAATGGGCTGCATGACCTTCCGGGGTCCTTGTTCCTCCAGGGCAGAGTGAGGAGATGTGTTGCGCTTATGTAAAAAACAGCCAACAGGAACCAGCCCAAGAACAGATTTAGATGCTCTCCCCACAGATCGAGGCTGCAGTGAGCTCTGATTGTACCACTGCATTCTAGCCTGGGCAACACAGCTAGAACCTATCTCAAAAAAAAAAAAAAAAAAAAAAAAAAGTCTCTTGGTTAACAGACTGGGATCTTGTACTAAACTGCATTATACAGAAGCAGAGTGGAAAATATCCACAAGAACCACCTCCCATGATATGAAATGGGAAAGATAAATGAATAAAGGCCCCATAAGCTCCAAGGCTCCCGTCAGTCAAGGGAGACAAGAAACCTTTGCAGCCTTGATGGTAATTCATGGATACAGCACAGATATAGGCCACACACCATATGTGCCAGGCCCACTTCAGGGGATGGGCTTGGAGAGATCATGAAGACACAGTCTAGTGAAATTCAGTTTGGAAAACGTGCCTAGCATGTCAAGTCCCATAAAATATGTACAAAGTGCTGTGGGAGCCAAGAGCTCAGAGAAGTTCGACTTAGGAGATATGTGAGCTGAGTCTTAGAAAGGTGAATAGAAGTTTTCCAAGCAGAGAAGAGGTGGAAAGGATACACTGTGCAGAAGGAACAGTGTGAGCAAAGGTGTGGAGCATGAAAGAGCTTGCTTCCTTGGGGTACCTGAGCTCCGTGGTTTGGAGCAGGGATTGGGAGTCTTTGTGCAGGGCATGGAGGGGCAACAGAGGAAAGAGTGAGGCAGAGGTTGCTATGGAGACCCCTGCTGATTGGCCAGTGTCTGCAGGTGGTTCTCGTTCTCCTCCAACATTTCCAGGGTTTCTTCTTCTTCTCTATGGAGAGTTCCTTCCCCCAGAGGGAAGGGGAGGCTGGGGCTAGAGTTTGCAGTTGCTTGCCATGCTAAAGAGTTTGTACTTTGTCCTTGAGGCATGTCACCTCCCCTCCCCATCCCAGTTTCTGTGGTATCAGGTGATGGTGACCTGGCAGTTGATTTCCCTTTATGTTCAATGTCACCCAGGAGCAGCTAAGTGAACAAACCATGAGAAGTAAGTGGTGGGCAGCTCCACTGCTCGCCTTAACCAATCCTCCACCTGGTATAAAAATATAAGCACCAGAGGTAGATTTCCTGAGGCCATGGTAATACCAAGGACAAGCCTGAATTTGTCCTTCTGGGTCTCGGAACAACCACTTCTTGCTTCGGGCCTCATGCACGGGCTGGAGTTTCTGATGATCCATAGAGAAGAGACCCTTTAGATCATCACCCCTCCATGCCCATTTCTTTTCAGATCACCCCCTGGGGAAACATTGCTGGAAAAAACAGTGTCATGTTGTCCAGCCAATCAGCCTGCCACCTGGTCAACTAACCCACCAGTGCCCCCTCACCTCCAGCGTCTGCTGCAAGGACTCCGTAAGGTGCCTCAGTTCCTTTTTCTCTTGTTCTACACCCTTAAGGCATCTTGCAGTCAGTTCCAGCTCCCTGTGGAGACAGAGGGCTGGGTATGGCAGTGCCCACTCTCCCCACTCCCCACCAATCACCTCTGCACATGGAAATGCTTTTCCCTCACTTCCTGATGTGGCTCAGAAAGGCTCTTGAATGGCCAGCCCCTCTGCACAGCTGAGCCCTGACAGCAGCCGTAGGGGCCTGGAGCTGAAAGGAAGTCCCAGCCACATGGGGTTAGGGTCACTTGTTGCAGGTACACATGCATCTGTCACCTGGAATAAACCTAGGGTACCCCACAGGCAAAGGGAAACACTGGAGAAACGACGGGGCCCCAGCCTCACCCCGTCTTCTCTGGACAGCACTTGCTAGAACCCATGTCATTCTGACATAGAACATGGCTAAGGCCCGTTTCTAGGGTAACAAGCTCCTTGCTGCCTTCTTCACAAGCTTCAGTCACCTAAGGCTTTTACATCAGTTGCCCCTTATCCTACTTGGAACATCTTTCCCTTCTCCTGTCCAATTTTTCAAATCCTACTCACCTTTCAAGGCCCAGACCAATCAGCCCTGTATTCAAGCCCACAGGATCATGCATATCTCAATTCCCATAACAGGAAATCTGCACCATGTCTTCTGGCCCCTGATGATGTATCATGGCACTAATGTCTCCTGGGTGCAAGTCTGGTTTCCCCAACCAGATCATTCTGTTCCTTCCAGTACCTGGCAACGTTCTGGAAGCTGAGTAGGTGTTTGGCTATTTACTTAGTAAGATCCTCTGGGTTTTTTCCTCCTCAAAATATGAATTTAATGGACACCATTGTATAAGTTGTTAGAAGAAAACTGTTTCTGGGCTATTACTGATGATGTGTGGTGATGATAACCATCATGAGGATGATGATGATGACCACCACCATCACCCCCACTGCCCACAGCAGTGGTCTCTACATTCCTGAGGGCTGCCTCAGAATCACTTTGGGTGTGTTTGAAAGAAAAATCTATCTATCTATCTATCTATCTATCTATCTATCTATCTATCTATCTAGATTTCTGGCCTGGTGCGGTGGCTCACACCTGTAATTCCAATACTTTGGGAGGCTGAGGTGGGAGAATCATTGAGATCAGGTGTTCCAGACCAGCCTGATCAACATGGCAAAACCCTGTCTCTAATAAAATTATAAAAATTAGCTGAGGGGTAATTAGATGGGGGCACACATCTGTAATCTCACCTACTTGGGAGGCTGAGGAACAAGAATTGCTTGAACCCAGGAGGCAGGGCTGCAGTGAACCAAGTCACGCCACTGCACTCCAGCCTGGGAGACAGAGTAAGACTCTGTCTTAAAAACAAAACTATGTGTGTATATATATATATATACATATATATATATATATACATACGTATATATATATATATATATATACATACATACGTATATATATATATCTCTCTCTCTCTCCAAAATTCATGATAACTGAGTCCACTGAAAACACACACATATATAGATTTTTTAAAAACCATATGTATGTGTATATAAATACACACACACACACATACATATATATATATATATATATAGAGAGAGAGAGAGAGAGAGAGACAGATTTCTAGGCTCTACCTTTAAGAGATTATAATTCAGTAGAAGATGATTATAACGTACAACTAAGTTTACAAACAATACATGGTACTAAAGATCCCAAATGACATCATTCCCAAAAATGTGAAAGGACTATGCAGGAAAGACAGTGAATGTTGGGGGCCTTGGCCAACAGCACCTCTAGGCTAGCGTGTCCTGTCTGACCCTGGGTGAGAGAGGCTTTCATGAAGGCAGGAGACCTTATGGCTTGGAGGGATGCTCCAATGCCTTATGCTCTAGTGGGTAGAAATAACCTCATTTGTCTGGGGCAGGGGAGTCTACAGATTCTTCTGGGAATACCCAATCCTGGAGCCTTGGGAGGATAGACTCAAACCAGGATAGACCCAAGCCTGGAGCCTTGGGAAGACAGCGTCTCTGAGGTGGAGGCCTCCTCAGGTCTGATGGGGAAGGTGGGCTCTGCATGCCCTAACTTGGCAGCACCCCCAGCTCCCGGGAACTACCACCACCTCTTGATTTGCTCCTGCTCCATTCTCAGCTCCTGCACCACTTCCTCGAACTGCTGCTTCTCGGCCTCCAGCACCTGGTTGAGGCGCTCAAGCTCCTGAGGAGACCAGAGAGGAAGAGAAGAGTCACAGGCAGCAAAGTACCCCTGTGATCAGGATCCCCCACTCTAAACCAAGGGACCCTCTGGGATTTAGCACAGCCTGGGCATGTGCTGCACCAGACCTGGAATTAAGTTCTGAGGACAGCTGGCCCCACTCAATGACACATAGTCTCGACAAACCCAAATCCATGATGAACTGAGCCTACTGAAAACACATTTTGCATGCTGAAGGCTGGGTTTAGGAACACTCCCAACATTATTCCCTGTGGTTGGAGGTAAGTATAATTCAGATGTCTACTCTGCAGGGCAGCTCCAGTCACTGCCACCATCAGGCAGGTTGGCCGTCCCTCACACATGGAGGAAAGAGTGGTGAGTTTGTATTTCCATTCAAGACCCCTGGAGTGATGTCTGTTAGAAGTGGCAAGGAAAGGCTATTCCCAACCCAAAAGTCAGAGAATAAGGACTTTTTTTTCTTGAGGTACTTGGGAAGCAATGACTCCAGGTGGCTTCAGCTTCCCTTTGCTCAGGTCCCAAAGTGGAGGAGAACTAGAAAGTGCAGGACAGGCCTCAGGGGACCAGACTCCCCACTTCAGGAATGCCAGGGAGCCCAAGTGTTTTCCCAGCAAGTACATGTCCTCCAGAAGTCCTGTTTCCTAGGGTTCTGTGGCAGGTGGCATTGGGGGGCACATTTCACACAGTTGGGCTTGAAGCATTTTTGTGACAACTGCTTTGTTCCTCCACATTTTACACTGCAGGGGGATATTATTTCCACATTCCCTTCTTTCTCATCTTCCAGCTTTAAATTACCCTCTCATTTTCACCTGGGGGCTTTGTTCCCAAGTTTAGTGGAAACCCCACAAGGGAGGGAGGCCATCTAAATGGAGAAGTTGCCATGCTCTTTGAGGAAATGCCAAGAAGGAATAAAATACGAGGCAGAGGAAGGAGCCTGCGTTCAAACCTTACGACCTCCATCTCTAAACTACTTACCCAAAGAGTTGCTATTGTTTTCCCTTCTAATCATCATCGGCACATCGGCAATTTGGGCATGGATCACTGGTTACAAACTGACCTCAGTTTGCCAAATGTTGTCATCACCAAGGCTGCTCACTGCTTACTGGTTTTATTATTATTATTATTTTTAAAGATGGAGTCTCTGTCACCCAGGCTGGAGTGCAGTGGCATGATCACAGCTCATTGCAGCCTTGGACTCCCAAGCTCAAGCCATCCTCCTGCCCCAGCCTCCTGAGTAGCTGGGACCACAGGCTCCACCAAGCCCACCTCTCACCATTATTCGGATGCTCCTCCCAGGCACTCTGCATGGCTACCTGCTAAAGGTGAGTAGGTCCATGGGACTAGCTAAGGCCAATGGAATGAGAGTGGAAGTGTGTTACTTCCAGGCAGATGCCTTTAAGAGGCAATGCATGATATGCTACGTTCCCTTCCCCCTGCCATGGCAATCAGTGTCTAGATATGAGATACCATATATAGACATAATATAAATATAATTAAAATTTTATTCTTATAGACCCCAACTCCTCTTTAATGAAATAAAAGTTTGGAGCTTCAGAAAAGTTAGAAACTCCGTATTTTATTCATTCTCAGTAGCTGACACGTGATATTGGATATTGCTAATGATGATAACCCCTTTGTAGCCTCAGATTCGACAAACCTGACACATTCACTCTCCTCAGTGGGCTCTATCTGCTGGGGCAGAGCTGTTTAGATGCCTTGGGAAATTACAAGCTGTAAGCATATCCGGGCTTACATCTGAAAAATCACAAAGGCACTCAGCTTTTTTTTTTTTTTTTGAGACAGAGTCTCACTTTGTCACCCAGGCTGGAGTTCAGTGGCATGATCTCTGTCACTGCAACCTCCACCTCCTGGGCTCAAGCAATTCTCCTGCCTCAGCCTCCTGAGTAGCTGGGATTGCAGGTGCACACAACCATGCCTGGCTAATTTTTGTATTTTTAGCAGAGACAGAGTTTCACCATACTGGCCAGGCTAGTCTCATACTTCTGACCTCAGGTGATCCATCCCCCTTGGCTTCCCAAAGTGCTGGGATTATAGGCATGAGCCACCGTGCCCAGACAGGCACCCAGCTCTTACAAGTCTGAGGCCTCTACTGCTTCAGAAATGATCACCTGGGACTGACCTGGAGGCTCCACCCCCTCCCTGGAAAGCCCATATTTCCCACTACTTAACAATACACTGGGATATCTTTTTGTAGTTGAAAATGGGAGGGGTCAATGATTAAAACCCACTCTTTCCCTCCCTAGCATTTAAGTGCCTCGTGATGCCAGCAGATCCCAGCTATGCCTCCGAGAAGCAGAAAGTGAATCTGATTCACCTGAAAATAATATGGCAAGACAAGCATTTGGCTTGGAATTATTGGAATCCCCTTCCTTCCCCAGTGGTCCCAGATATATGCGATCAGATGCTTTTCTACCTGAGTCAGTGCTACATGTGCCTGGGCAGCATTTATTGCTCTGTGAAAGAGTCAGAGAAACAGGCACCCATGAATCAGAACTCCAGGGTCAAATGAACTTTAAAGGCAATTAAAATCTCCATCAGATGCTTCAATCTCCTGCTTGGTTTTCCTGCCAAGAGATGGTCCAAGCTCTGCTTGACTGGCTCTCATGACAGCCCATTTCACCCCTGAACAACCCTGGTAAAAGCCTTTCCTTATCGGCTCAACCGTCTGCTAGATAATTCTATTCATTCATGCCACACGTTTGTTGAGTGTCTAATAGGGTTCAAGCATCTGCCAAGCTATGCACTGAGGACGTGAAGATAAGCAAAAACAGTTGTATCTCTGCTCTCAGGGAACTCACAGTCTAGTGCAACTATTGATGAAATCAGGTCCGGGAGATGTGGCTCATGCCTGTAATCCTAGCTTATGGGAGGCCAAGGTGGGTGGATTGCTTGAGCTCAAGAGTTTGAGACCAGCCTGGCTAACATGGCAAAAACCCATCTCTACTAAAAATATAAAAAATTAGCCAGGCGTGGTGGTACCAGCCCATAGTTCCAGCTACTTGAAGGGCTAAGGCAGGAAGATCCCTTGAGTCCAGGACGCAGAGGTTGCAGTGAGCCGAGATCCTGCCACTGCACTCCAGCCTGGGCAACAAAATGATGCCCTATCTCAAATAAATAAAATAAAACCAGGATTTTAGATCAAAGGCAAACATCAGATATTACCAAAATAATCAGACACATTAAAGTAGCATTACAAACCAAGATACACGATATGCAGGACAGGGACATGTTCTATGTAAAGCTACCCTGATGGGTGTGAAGCAGGTATGGAGTGGGGTGGGGTGAGATCAGGTTATTCTTTAGCTGACGGATGAAGGTGAATCAACAGAAGGAAAAAGAAGGAGCCTTCCAGGCAGAAGGAAAGGTATGTACAAAGGCACTGTGGGAACCTGTTGCCCTAAAAGAACCAAGATCGGCCCATATGGCTGGGCCCAGAGTGAAAGTGAACATGATGGGAGGGAGGCTGGATGGGCTGACAGTGGCTATCATTTATTAAGCACTTCCTACGTTGCAAGCAGTTTGTATGCAGTCCTCCCAACACCCCTATCATGGAGTGCTGCCTCATTTCAGAGAGTGCTACCTGTGCCCTCTCTGTCTGCCCTAGATCCAAGGCAATCTAGACCACTCCCCTCCCCTCCCCCTTTATTTGCTATTTATGTGCAAACAACACCTATGTTGATACCTCTAGTCTCTACTCTCGGTTGAGCTCCATCCCCTTATATCCAACTGTTGGCTTCCCATCTCCAGCCAGATATCCAAAGATATCACAAACACATGTCCAAGAACAAACTCATAATCTTCCCCAGCAGAGCTTGTGATCTTCCCAGTGCACCCTGACTCAGGGAATGCACCACCAGTCACTGTGCAGGTGAGAAACTTCGGAGTCATGCTTCACCCTGTCCTTCCTCCTCTATTCTTTCCCCCTCAAGTCCAGTTCGTATTGCCACCCCCTGCAACCCTGCTCTAGAACCTGCCAGGCAACTTCTCTTCATCTCACTGCCCTGCTCTGGTTCACATGGCTGTTCGGTCTTGCCTGGACTAGCGCAGTGGCCTCCCACCTGGGCTGTTTGCACTCTTTTTGGCTCCTCTTCATCCTTTTCTCCATACTGCAGCCAACATTACTACTTAAAATAGAAACCACTGTAATCCCAGTGCTTTGGGAGGCCAAGGCACGTGGGTCGCCTGAGCTCGGGAGTTCAAGACCAGCCTGGGAAACATGGCAAAACCCCATCTCTACAAAAAATACAGAAAATTAGCTGGGCATGGTGGTGTGCACCTGTGGCCCCAGCTACTTGGGAGGCCGAGGCAGGAAGATCACTTGAGCCTGGGAGGTTGAGGCTGCAGTGAGCCAAGATCGTGCCATTGCACTCCAGCCTGAGTGACAGAGAGAGACAACCCTCCCCCCCAAAAATGGAAATCAAATCATATTATCCACACTTTTTCCTCACACCCTACTCAAAACCTTCATTGCTTCTTCCTGGTCAGGAAGAGAGGTAAAAAATAGAAGGTTATTTTAAAAAATTACATACAATGAATCAGTATATTGCCATTAAAACTGATGTTTTCAAAGAATGTTGAATGACATGGAAAATGTATAATGTCAATGAAGGTATGATGAAAAGTATAATGAAAAGGCAGCCCATACAACTGAATATCCGGCCGGGCGCGGTGGCTCACGCCTATAATCCCAGCACTTTGGGAGGCTGAGGTGGGTGGATCACAAGGTCAAGAGATCGAGACCATCCTGGTCAACAAGGTGAAACCCCGTCTCTACTAAAAATACAAAAATTAGCTGGGCATGGTGGTGTGCGCCTGTAGTCCCAGCTCCTCAGGAGGCTGAGGCAGGAGAATTGCTTGAACCCAGGAGGTGGAGGTTGCGGTGAGCGGAGATCATGCCATTGCACTCCAGACTGGGTAACAACAGCAAAACTCCATCTCAAAAAAAAAAAAAAAACTGAATATCC